GGAGGAAGGGGACAGGAACCAGGGGGGGGATGAAGTGGGAGGAAGAGGATATGTCCATATCCTGAGAGCCTAAACTCTTCATTTCCGAATGATCCTGCCCCTCCTCCTTCCCTCCCTGTTCATTTTCTTCGACCCCCTCTTCCTCTTCGGTACCTCCCCTTAGGCCCCCTTCCTCCCATTCCTTTGTTTTCGACGAATCCCGTGAGGATGAAGGGGTGTTCCCCTTTTTATTTTTTGTCTGAGAATGTGCTCTTTTCAGTTTCCAAGCCTGGTGGGGCTGGATTTTTTTCGTTGATGCTCGAATTTTTTTCAGACTTCTGTTCTTCTGCTGGGGGACAGAGTTACACTTTACATGATCCTCTGGATTGGGGGACCCATCATCAGCCTTTTCCCTAGCATCACTGGGATGTTGTTTGTTCTCGAGTCTCTTGCCATCTGCAGATGTTTTGTCCATTGTCTTTGGGTTTCTCCCCTTATCACTTGGGCTCGCACATCGAAAGGGGGTCGGGTTAATATTCCCGAACCGGGTTGTGGAGGTGGACGGTAACGTAAGGAGCTCCGGAGATGCCGGCGGGGGCCGTGGGGAGGGTTCTCTTTCCTTCTTGACGGCTCGCCCACCCTGGAATCGGATCAACCGGAGATAGGGTGCAGCGCCCGACAAAGCACCGCGCGTCCTGTGGTGTCCACCGCGCCCCCGACGGCCCTTGAAAATCTGGACCTGCGGGTACCTCTCACGCTCGGCCGTACTCATAACCGCATCAGGTCTCCTAGTTGAGCAGCCTCTGGTCAAAGGAAGAATGTAGGTAAGGGAAGTCGGCAATATGGATCCGTAACCTTTGGAAAAGGATTGGCTCTGAGGGCTGGGCCTAGGGGTCTGCGCCTCGATGTCGTTGGCTGCCGGTGGTCTGCCCGAGCTGCTTTCTCGGCGAGGGCGGAGCCCGAGTGCCAGTGTGCCGACGGGCGTAGAATGTCTTATGTCCCCACCTTTCGGGTGGGGCCGTGGGACTGTCCCTAAGCATCAAACTGCCGACTCAGAACTGGTGCGGACAAGGGGAATCCGACTGTTTAATTAAAACAAAGCATTGCGATGGTCCCAACGGATGTWGACGCAATGTGATTTCTGCCCAGTGCTCTGAATGTCAAAGTGAAGAGATTCAACCAAGCGCGGGTAAACGGYGGGAGTAACTATGACTCTCTTAAGGTAGCCAAATGCCTCGTCATCTAATTAGTGACGCGCATGAATGGATTAACGAGATTCCCACTGTCCCTATCTACCATCCTGCGAAACCACAGCCAAGGGAACGGGCTTGGAAGAATCGGCGGGGAAATAAGACCCTGTTGAGCTTGACTCTAGTTCGACTCTGTGAAATGACTTGAGAGGTGTAGAATAAGTGGGAGCCTTACGGBGCAAGTGAAATACCACTACTTTTAACGTTATTTTACTTATTTCGTGAGGTGGAGCCGGGGCTCTGCCCCTGCTTCTCGATCCAAGGTGCAGGCCCTCGTGGCCTGTCCGATCCAAGCGAAAGACATTGTCAG